TTAGGAATTTGGCAAATTAAGAATTCGGGAATTTAGGAAATTTAGAAATATAGAAAATTTGAAAATTTGAGAATTTGAGAATTTAGGAAGTTTAAGAATTTGAAAATTTAGAAACTTGGGAATCTAAGGAATTGAAAATCTGAGAATTTGGAAATTTGGAAAATTGTAAATTGAGGAATTTAAGAATTTAGAAAGTTTGGATGTTGAGAACATGTGAATCTGAGAACTTTTTACAAACGAAATTGGATTTAGATAGAAACCAATGTTTATCGACGGTATTATGTTGGCAATGTAGATATATTAATCATAAGAAACGTGGAATACTGGCAATATTGATCGTCTGGCAATATTGATCCTGGCGAAATAACGCTTGGTTATGCAACGCGTGGTGATATAACCCGCGATATCTAGGCATTTAATGGGAATTTGCAATTTCTTTTGTGGATGCAAGCGCCATTAATGTCAATAAAAATGTGTCTAAAAGGGAATTCGTGTAACTGGCGATTTACGGAGAGTCTAAGACTGATAAAACTGATTTCTCTACTTTTTCGAAGTAACGATTCGTATCAATTATTACACCTTCCAAGTTAACAAAAGAAGAAATAAACTAAAGCGCAATAATGTGTATATTTTATTATTTCTCACTAATACTTTATTTTAACCAGTTAAGTGTGTTTGACGACTATATCCGTCATGGAGATGTGGCAGATTTTTTGACGACTATATCCGTCATGCTGTAAAATTTTGTTACAATTTGACATTTAAATTGTAATTTTGGCGAAAACTAAATTATATTCATAAATTGTAATATGTTTAAAATATTTAGAGATCAGCACAAAATGAAATAAGCAAATAAAAAGTGTAAATGATTTGAGATGGATTCATAAATTCTTGAGAGCTAACTCGTCATCGCTTTATTATCGCGACCCACACTGGTGCGTGCTTTGCAAAAAGATCGCCACAGTTAACTGGTTAATTGATGTCTAATATTTATTGCAATATTATTAAGATAAAAAATTATGATACTATACAAGCTGTTGTATTTATTTAGTTATAAAGTAGAGAAAAATATTTATACGTACTTGAAAATTTTTATTGATATAGTATCGATATTTACTCGATTACCACATTAGTGTTGATTGATTTCATTCCAAGAAGAATCGACGTTAGAAACTGATATCAAGTATCCGAGATTTCGAAATTTTTTGATACTTTTCACTGACGATGAGTACTTAACCTGTATTCGAACAGATGCGTTTCTGATGCAGTTACATCGTACAAGTATCATTTTATTGTCTGAATTGATAAGTACAAATGTATTTGATTTGTAACTACCAAAAACTTGATAAGATATTATAGATTATAAATTTACCTGTTAAAGTTATATAACAGTTTTATTTCAAATAATTATATTAGCAGTCGTTAAAGCATGTTGAAGCCGCTGCTGCCGTTATAATCCGAACAAGGGTTAAATTAATATTAACCCTCATGCGCTGTTCAAACTTTTATTACATTTGCATAATTGGGTTTATAAGCGAAGACACGAATGGACAAAGGTGTCATATAACACGTATACAAATGTTTTAATACAACGGATAAAGTATCACTATATTTTTATGGTATCATTTTCCTTTACTACAATGATAACTTCGAGTTTTCAAAAGATATCTTTATCTTTTTAAAATATGTTGTTACGGATAGAACTGGCCAATTGAGGCATTTCAGAGCATGGAATGAAAATTTAAAGATAAACATAAGATTTTAAGTATAGTAATTGTCGTTCTATCGATCATATCTGCATAATATGGTTAATAATATGAGTTAGATTTATAATAGTGAGTGTAATAAGTATAGTGAATGTCGTTCTATCGATCATATCAGCATAATATGGGTAATAATATGAGTAGTGTTACGGATAGAACTGGCCAATTAAGGCATTTCAGAGCATGGGATGAGAATTTAAAAATAAACATAAGATTTAATGAATTTAGCGGGGTTTTCGGGGACGACTGGTCAAAAGCAGCAGGCATGGCGAGTTTCCATGCCTCGAAGCCCTACGTGCACGGGGAAACCTGTGGCCGTATTCGTCGAACACCATGAGTGTCTCGGCATGAAAAACACCATCGTAGCACCGGGGGTAACCAATCCGCCCGGGAGTGGTGGTGCTCACCAAAACACCGAGGGCCACTCCGCTCGGGAGAGGTGAGAACCCGGGCGAGGGCGAGCTTGCTTGCCCTGCGCTCCGGCTAGCTGTCTGCGGGATCGGTCGCACTCGAAGACGATAGATAATTAATTTTTCTAAGAAATGTACACGTGCGTGGCGCACGTGGCAATGGCACGTGGCAAGAATACGTGTGTTATATAATAATTGAAATAAACTGTGCGTATTCACCGTCGAAAAATTGAGTTGTTCTGATACATATGTAATTACATTTAATTAAGTTTTCAAAGGTGAAATTGTTCCACAGTTATCATTGACGTCAATGGTAGTAGATGAAATGATCTAAATGTGAACTAACATTATTACTTCAGGCTTTGTTACAAAACTAATTAAAGATTCTATAAGATATAAAATGGAAACTTAAGATATTTTACTATGCCTGTCGAAAACATGTTTGTTCTTCTCTTAAATTATGTATTTAGAATAAAAACAAAAATATTCATTTTTAAAAATATAGCATAAATGCTACACATATAATAATATATAAGAAATGTGAAAACCGCACACTTTCAAGTTGGAATATTTAAACTCATGTTTAAAACGATGCTACAAGTAAAATGAAATTCTGCAGATTTATAATAGGAGAAAATGTACACTTCCGATAAAAGTAATAACAGATCAGTCCATCTTTGATTTTTCTAAGACTAGTTAATTACATGAATGTTGCATAAATATTAATACGTAAATTTATAACAAAGGAAAAAATCTGGCATTAAATTAGACAGAGTAGATGAAATAAATAGAAAAATGTTAGTACACTTACAAAACATTGGCATATATTTAATCTAAACAAAGGATGAAAATATGAACTAATTTGAAAATACAATAAATACAAACCTTTATTTTTTAATCACTTCAGTCACCCGTTTAAATAATAATTTAAACAAATATTGGGTTTTATGTTGTTAAATTGTTCTATTCTATGTGATGAATTTATTTAATGACTGAATGTTGTCTACATATTTCATATGTTTACAAAATGATTGTATAAATTATTCCAAACAATTTTATAATATTTACTTTGTGATATTTATGTCTGAGAAGTGTAAAAGACATTGCAAAATGGATATGTGCTCTGTTACAAAGTATATTTTAATCAATTCTGCTTGATAAGTGTCTCAAGGAATAAATCTATTTAGAGTAACCTACTGTTTATATAATTTAAATAAAATTTGTTTGTCATTTTTCTTGGAATAAACTATATGTTGATTTATCATTTTAGCTCAAAATGCCGAGTCATCTCGATACATTTATCGAGGATTGTAATTTCGTTTCTTTCCACTATCGACTACAACTTAATTTTATTCCTTTCTCGCTACATTTGTTATCTTGCATATCGTAAATATCGTTCTTTGCATTGTTTTATCAGAGGGAAATTTTTATTTTTCCCAACTAAATATACTATTCATTCAAAACAAAATAAACAGCGAAATATATTTGTATTTAATAAAAGAACAAATAATAAATATGCAAAAGTGTTTACTGAATGTCGGCTAATTTTTTTAAATGATTAACAAGAGAAAGTTATTCACATTTCTTATGTAAGAGAGCGCATATCCATTTTGTAATAATCTGTACACTTCTAAAGCATAAATGTTATAAGCATTCTAAAATTCCTCATTGCAATTTCTAAAAACTAAAGAACAGTCCCAATAGATTACAGATATCTTAGATAGACCTAATGAACAATTGTGCAGTTTCTTCAAAATTGACATATGTCAGTCACTTTGATTCCCTTAGGAAAATTAAAGATGCACGTAGGAGAGAGCGTGGACAAAACTTCATATGATGAAACCACGCATTTTCTTGCTTCCATAAGCGTTTTTAGACAATTTACTTTTCATATGTGCATGTCTGCTTGGTTCCGTTGATTGTCACTGAGTCATAACATAATTCGCATGCGGTGGTTGAACTAAATTGCTAATTCAGATCCCTCGAATAAATGTCAACCATTTCAACGTTTTTGTTAATATTCGTAGTTAAACTATTCGTAGTCAAACTATTCGTCGTTAAACTATTCGTATTAGACCAATCACTAGTTAAAGCGTTCTTAGATAATATTTTTATAAGTTTCTACAGCCAATTTTAAGAAATTTATGATTAGTAGATTTATAAGATTTCTGTTTTGCAAAACGCGATTAGGGATGAAAGTGACGCGTTACTATAGGGAAAGAAACGCATACCAAGGGTGATATATCATACATGTCATAACTGTAATTGAGCATACAAGTACCCCACCTGCACAATATCAAATAAATCCTCGAAGCTGGATATGCGTTCCATTTTTCGTTATTTACGATTCTGCGTTAGAAAAAAGTATATTTACTTAACTCTCTGCAAACGATTATTGTTACGATTAATAGACCGACAAACACATTTTCTTATGGCATTACTCTGGTTTCTATACCCTTAATTTTCAATACTGAACATAGACGTTTAAATTTTCATAAGAATCACATTATTACTGAGAATTTATTCTACTGGAAAATACTCATATTAACTACAGGAAACTGTGGATAATAAATATGACAAAATATTGTAAAAATATTCGGTAAGATTTGTCAGAAACAAAATGACTAATAATTTCAATTGCTTCAGTATATCAACGTTTTAAACGGTGATTGACAAGTCATATAAAATATGTTACATTTGCCTCCGCTCTCCTCTACCATTATTTGAAACGAGACGTATCTCATTGCTACAAGCTATTAATCACCGATAGCATGATCATCGCCAGAAATAATAACGCACAAAAGGAAAGAATCACGGTGCGACTTACCCATTGATGATGGAAGAGGATTCATCATTGTTCGGTGGTCCCGACACCTGGACTTTGGGCACATTGTAGACATCCGCCTGTCCTTGACCATATCCTTGTCCATGACCATGACCCGCTTGCTGATGGCTATGTGTCGTCGAGTATTCATCGCTGTCGCTACTCTGCGGAGGCTCGGATCCTACTCCTCCACGAGGTCTGCAAACAATCATTTCGAAAAATTAATGCTAGATTCATCAAACTAACGCTGGATTTCTTAGATTAATCAGTTAACTGTGGTAGATGTGTACACGTCAGTCCAGAACTACTCTGGTGATGCAGATGATAAAAATAGAGATTTGATCAAATACCTAAGGTTGATCAATTCATGGAAGATGTTAAAATAATAACTCTGTGGAGTGATTTCTTTGAAGAAAGTGATTTGATCAAATCTTTTAACTGTTTTAGTGAAAAGACGAAATAAAGTTAGCGCCCAGACATTAGGAAAGTTGCGCGCATTTTTGTTATTGTTTTCTAATATTTTGAGTTTTATCAAGTACCTATCGTAGGAAAATGAGTTTGGATATAGAAAATAAATTCTGACCGGATCTGCATCTGAGGAACAGTTTAATAAAACTATTAGGACATTTTTGAACAAATATTTTAACATCTTCCGTGAATTGGTCGTATACCACAGGGATTTGATCAAACCCCTATTTTCATCATATCGCTGCGACATATACACGTCTTGTAAAATAAACAATCATTGACTATAAAAACTCGAAATTTCAATAAGATGAAATGAAAGTGTTTGGTGGTATGTTTACATTGTCAATAGAACTGCAATGTATCTTGCATATATTTTCTGAAAGAAAGAAATTTATTCCTTTTAGCGTATTAGAAATTTTCTGTACATTTCACAAATTGAGTTGATTATTTTTTCCACTAGCCAGTAATCTCGAAGTTATTTTGTATACATTACTGTATACTGAATAAATCTCCAAAAACCATATTTGTTAAAAATACCACACTGAAATCAGCCAAATTTCTTAAAATTATTTTCTGTCTTTAATTTTTCTTGTTTATAAATTTCATTATTGTTTAACAATTTTTAAGTTTTGAATAACAATAACGTTTTCAATAATATATTGTTAATTTTATATCTTCCTCGTTTTGTTCTAATTTTTCCGCAACAATTTATAGTAGGATCATTTTCCCTGCGGTCGACGTGTCTCTGCTTGATTTTAATTCCACACATCGCGAGGGATGTCTAAAACTAAACTCTGCAATTAACACTATTTTTTAATTATGGTGATGTTCGAATTGAGAAATTCGACTTGAAAATTTGGGATGATAAAAAGTACCAATTATTCAAAGAACGTATCAAATGTATAAGAAAATAGTTTTTATCTATAAAAATGTCTAGCTTTCGAATATTCTGTACTTTCCGACTGACTGATTCAAAAAATCAAGTGGCAGAAATTAAAAAAATTGAAAGTGTTTATTGTAAAACTTGTCAAAATTGATATCTTCTTATATTTTCATCTAAAATTCCGTGAAGTATATTTCTATTCTTTTATTAGATTTATCCAATTAACAGATTTTTTGCAAACAAAATATTCATACTTAAAGCTTAGAGAAGTCTTCTGAGTATGAAAGAATATTTCTTTTTAAAATTAATTAAAAATAACTGAATTACGTAAGGTTCGACAACCAAATATTCTAAATAAGAAGTACATTTAATTTTTGTCAAAGAAATATTCAATTTTAGTGACTCATTAGTAAAGTCTATCCTGCTTCAAGATTAAAGATCTTGCATTATACTTAAAATATTATCGTATTTTGAAAAATAAAATAAATTGATTTATACTATCTTTATTTTCGATTTACAGAAACAATACGCTTTGTTGGAATTTGGATGTTGATTCTACGAAAAATATAGGAATAGATATAATTAGTCTAGTTTGGATTAGTTGCAATAGATGAATTAAATTTGGAATAGATTGTTGGCAAGATTTGGTTAATCTAACATTTAACAGACATTTAACATTTGATGTTTAATACAAAAACCTGCATCTTTCTAATAATTGTGGCCTTTGTCTCGGGCCCGCAACTTCTAGCGACGGTCCTGTCGACAGTGCCCTCGTTATAAAAAAGAAACTTCGTCCCGAAACTAACAATTTTAACTGGATAAAGTTAAAGAGGAATAAACCGTTTCTTTTCAGTTAATCTTTCTCTTCATTACGTATTATTTATATATTAATAATCTATAAAAATTATACAATTATATGATGTTTCAGAAAATGTTCTAAACTAAAGAAAAATGCGTCTTCATAATTAAACATGAAAAATATACTTTTCCTTTAGTCTCTACAAATAAAAAGTTAGAGGAACATATTCAAGACTAAAAAAGTTTCTAGTGTCTCTTCTAGTTTTTTGGACATTTTTTAAAATTCTACTGCATGAAAAAGTGTAATGAAATATAGAAAATGCTACTTATCTAAGAAAATTTATAACTTTTATTTGGTACGTGTTTTAGTGTAGTCAGTAAGTCCAGGCACTCATTTTACCATTTAATTCTACAAACTTTACACAGTTTTTTGCATTAATTGGAACTATTCCAAGAGATGACGCGAAAAGAACCTTGAAAAAATTTTCGTCAAGTAAATGTAAGAACCACTTTAATGTACATCCATATACTGTGTCTATTTTCAACCAACTTCGCTGAAATATGTTAGAGGAATGTGGAAATATTATAAAAATGTTTCTACAGGAGTTGTTTAATACGGTAGCGAACATGATTCTCGCAGATGCAGTGATGGAGGTTCCAAGGTCGAGTTAATATTTTCAAACCATAATCTTTTATGCAAGGAATCTCTCTAGAACATTCTTCACAAAAAAATATTAAAGTTGAACATTAAAAATATTATTAATCCATGAAATATTTTAAATTCAAAAATATTTCATTAACAGACTCTTTGAGTCTCACAAATTGTTAATTTTTTAACTCCATGTTTTTAAACATTTTTCTATGTAAAATGTTCTGAAAAACTGGACTCAAATAAGAACACAGTTCTAATTAAAATTGAAGAAATAGCTTACATCTATTTTATTTTTTTAATGGTACTACATATTCTTTTTAGATTGATCAATTCGATGTAACATTTTCCATCAAGCAATATTAAAGTACAATGTTAAAAAGTTTTATAATTTATGCTTATTCACATTCTTGGGTGAAATATCACATTTTTAAGTTTAAAGTATCTTGTGAACTACAAACTTTTTATGATTGCAACCTAATCTTTTTATGCAGAGAATCGATTTACATAAAAGAACATAGTGTCCCATTTAAAGAATGAACTCGACCTTGAAATCTCCCCCACCCTTCACCCGCGAGAAAAATATTTATTCTACATTATGTCCGCCATTATAAACAACTTTTTCAAAAACATTGTTCTAATATTTTCAGTTTTTTCTGACAAATACCCTCTTATAATATGCAAAAGACACATCAGTTTATCTGCACATATTTTTCATGCTGGATTTCATCACATTGAAACTTAGCAATCCTCAAAACCATGATGGAGGACAGAGATATGCAAAAAGATTGAGAGGTATAATTCTGACCAATTTCAATTTCTTCCTCTTATCTACTAAATTTTTTATGTTAGAAAAGTAATAATAAATAACAAAAGAAGTATATAAAACATATAAACATACAACAGGGAAACCAGAGTATATAAAACATGAAGAAAATGTGGTATATAGAATAATATGCAGAATTATCGAAAAAATTTTTCGAAATTATAAATTTGTTATATCTTTAATGTTGCAACTTTATAATATTATGATGCTTTTTTCAATAAGTTTCTTTAAAAAATGTTTACTGTTATTTTTTTACTAATATTACTAACGACAGTTCAAAAGTGCATTATTTTGCAGAATTGAAAAAATCACGCTACAAATCATGCATATTTTCAAATCAAATGTCTCACAACTTTGTTAAGTAAAAATATTATTTTAATATGAATCGAAAGCCAGTTTGTCCAATTTATAAAGGTGTTGGTTAAATATAAGTGTTCTTGTTTCGCATGCAACATTCTTCGCTATACATACAATATTAACCTATTGCTCCGGTAATTTTCAGTGCTACAATTTTATCCACCGGTATATCTAACTGATTACGTATTTAACCTATAAAAATTCGGACGCTTCATAAGCGCGTTGTTCGAAGCGTTAAAATAAGGTTGACATTACCACAGCCTCGAAGAGAATTTCAGGACTACAAAATAACAGTGAAACTCAACTGTCGAATCATATACATGATCGCAAGATTCGTAGGGGCTGTTACATAATTGAAAGTTCAACTAGTTTCAAAAAATCACACCTGCGATGAGTGTTGTCGTAGCTAGCAGTCCAGTAGAGGGGCGCCACTGTCCCACGTTTCTGCTACACTGTCACATGCAAAAACCGACTCGAAACAGATCTTCTCCCACGATCCACAGATTTAATTACTTAAGATCCTCTCTACACGTTCATTGTATACAATGTAGAGAACTTTGCCAACTTCCCTTCAAAATCTCAAAACACTTCTGACGTTCGCTGGGTCAATAGAGTCGCAGCATCATTTCTCTCAGAAACTGTCCCAAAGATCAATTCGACTGTTAAGAATTTTCGCTCGAATACTTATTCTCCCATAGATCCTCCGGCACAGGAGAAGACGATCTGCGGTCCAGTGAAGACTCTACGGACGATCTTCTAAGATGAATAACCAGTTTGCTTCATCTCGATGCGGTCGAAGAAAAGACGATGCAGACAACGTGGACAAAGCGTGTTCTACGAATGCTTGCAAGAAAAATACGGCAATGCGGTGTGTGGATCGTGGTGCAGTCCACGCTCGTGCGGCTCCTCGTTACTCGACGACACTTTCGCGGATGTACACCAATGGTACAGCACTATGGGATGTACGTGAACGCACACTCAGCTGTTTCGGCGCGTCTGCGCCAGTCTGCCAGCTATTGACCGAATACCACGTTGCTGGGCACGTATAACTATACAGGGTGTCTCAAAAATACCGTAAACTCAAAAAACTGCACTTCGTACGAAAGCAAATTGCATATTGCTCCACTATTTTCCAATTCGAACTTTGATTTCGAAATATAGCGACTGGTAATTGGAAACAGGTTTCGGCGCGCTCGTTCCAAACGGCTGACCGCTGA